GGTTCTGGTTCCACTTGCCATGAACTGTTTGGAGGGAACAGCTTATGATCTCATGTGGAATTATGCTTCGTTTTATAATTTCATCGCATTAGTTACAAGCAGATCTTATTATTGCTTGTCAGACAAAGCCCAAAAATTTATGGATGACTCTATAAATGTGCTACGGAAATGTGCTCGATTCCAGGATAGCCTGATAAATTTAACGTAATTCAAGGTCGCGCCAAGTTTACACCAGATAGCTACGAACCCGGTCTGTGCACACATATAATATTCGCATTTGGCGTGTTCGAAGACGACTACATAGTGAAGTTCGAAATTCTATTGTTCAGTTTCGCCTTACTCGACTTCAGTCGAGAACATTTAATTGTTCAGTGGATCTCCGAAAGACTGAGTGATTCATACCAACGATTGTGCATCGCTATTAAATATATTCGAATAACATGGAGGGACTGGTAAATGGGGATAATGAAGAAGCAATTTGTTTTAAGGGCACATCATCCGGACGACACGGAACCAGGAAGTGGAGGTTATGCGCTCGTAAACAGTTTAAAGTCAAGGGATTCGAAACTTAAAACAATTCTTTCGATTGGTGGAAAAGTATTTGGTACAGAACGATTCAAGGTTTTTCCCTCTCTCGTTGCGTGGTACTGAAAATATGACCTACGTCCCCATCTGAATGAGTTGCAGCAGTAAAAATAAATTACATAGCAATAGTCTAAATGAAATCCATTCCGTTTGTCATCATATTCAGTTACATCGGTGACATTCATATTAAGCTTAATCAGCAAACTTTCAAGGACATGTCAAGTTCGGAACGCAGAAGAGCTACCTTCATCAATTCCGCGATTGAATTCGTCCGTCGTTATGGTTTTGATGGAATCGATATCGATTGGTACCTTCCCGAGGGTCAAGCGGATAAGGATAACTTTTCGGCTTTACTCAGAGTAGATATCATCGCACAGTTCAAACGACTTTATGCTAGTACTAATCAACCATATTTGCCCAAAAGCTACAGCAACAACTCGTGCAACCGAATAAGTTCACATCAGCACCGTCTCCTAATGAGAATCATTTGAAAATTGATGCGACTGATGTGTGTTTTTGTTAGCCGATAAAACAGTGATCTTGAAATTTGGACAACGATTTTTCTACTTAGGAACTGCGAGCTGCGATTGAGCAAGAGGCATCCACAACAGGTCACAAACGATTGATTCTAACTGCTGATGTAGCACCTGAAAAGCGGCGAATTGAAAACGGATACGATGTCCATAAAATTGAAGAGTGAACATTCCAGTTATTCTTCGACTATTCAAATTCGTTTCTGCCATGCTCATTGTTTACCAGGAATTTTCACACCTTTTTGAATGATGAATTTCTTATCGAGGAAATATCGATCATTAACAATTTACTCACACATAATTCTGTAAAGTGCGAATGGTTTCAACGGGACATTATTCTCAGTTTTTCTTCCGATCGTCAAGGCCATCTGCATCAGGTAGACAGCATTTCCTTTCTACAGGTATTTGGATTTTGTGATGGTGATGTCGTACGATTTTCACGGTCCATGGGAACAAAGAACCGGTTTCAACAGTCCGCTGTACTCCCAAGACGGATTGAGCGTTGTAATATAATTTTGAGCCTGCTTTTTTCCGATACTAAATTTTTAAGGATTTCCATGAATGAGCAACGAGAAATAATCATTCAATTCAGCATGACGCAGCTACATCCTGGGAATCTCAGGGCATGCGCAACTGCAAGATTGTCATCGGTATACCATTGTACGGTCGCGGATGGACTCTCTCGAATTCATCGAACACGGATGTGGGCGCTGCGGGCACTCCATCCAGACCGACACGATACATATGCGAAAGCGGTGTCGCTTCTTACTACGAGGTATGCATGAACATTTAAGTGACTAAATATTTCAGCAGAAAACTTTACCAATTTCAATGAAACATTGCAATCGGAAGAGTTTCATTGATTATTGAAATGCGAGGAAACCGATGAAAACCTACTGAACAACCACGAGACTGCACAGATACGTGAGATGTTAGCCAGTGGAGCACAGAATCGTTGGAATGATGAACAGCAAGTGCCATATTTGGTGCAGGACGATCAATGGTTCAGTTATGACGATGAGAAATCAGTCACCAAGAAGGTCAGCTCGAATATCCATGTCTTATGCAACAGTAT